AGCTGGAGCGCCGCCGGCCGCGCGCCGCCTCCGCCGCGCACAGCGCGGGGTTGCTGGCCGACTTCTCGTCCGGCGGCCGGCCCGCCCCTCCCCGCGGCGGCCGCCGGAGGGTGCGGAGGGCGAACGGCCCGACCGGCGACATCGGCGCGTACCCGGCGGGCGGAACCTTGCCGGCCTCCGCCTCGTCGGCCTCCATGTTCTTCGGCTCCATCAGCAGGTACTCGTCGGAGGAGCCGCCGCCGGGCCGGTCTTCGTGCGGAGGGTGGCCGCACCTGGCGCATACGCCTCCGCCGTCGACGCCGACGAAGGAAGAAGGCTTCAAACTGGCACCGATCGCGTCCAACTCGGTTTGCGTAATGCCCGCTCTCCGGAGCAGGTCTTTTGCGTTTTCGTAGTGCTCGAGCGATAACGCAAAACTGAGATTCTCATAGTGTGCGAGTGGGCCCTGGTCGACCTCGGGCGCGGAGCCCCCCGGCGTGTAGACCCCGCGCCGCTCGCACCATATTTTCCGTCGGGTCTTCCTAGCTACATCAACCGTGGCGTAGAGCGCACTGCTATCGGCGCCATTCGGTGTCACGTTCTCTTTATTTGGCACTGAACTCTCGTTGACATCGGTATTTCTTCTGCAATACGGCAGCTTGATCCACGCGTTCGCCCAGTCGGTTACTTTCCTGCACGGACAGTCGACTGACTGAAAATTTTCCTCCGTCTCTACCACCGTGGGCTCTGTTCTTCTTCGACCGACTTTCAGTAAACACCCGCACGGTTTCCTTAATATAATGACATCCTCTGATGAACCTCTTGTAATCCTAAAAAGTTCGCTATCGAAATATTCTCTCAGCCTTTTCGGCGTGTCGTAGTACTCCCCGTCCACCTAACGAAAAAAAACATTTTTAACAACAATTAACGTTTATTACGCATAATTTTAAAACCGTTTACAGTTAACTTACCTCGGTGCAGGGAATTCTAGGGACGTCATAATTTTCATAGGGTCCGACGCCTGCTCGAGCAGGTCCTTCGGAGAGAGAGTTGCAGACGCACGAGGGGGTCGGTAGAGGCATCGGCACCTTGCCACCGGGTGCAGGTTCGAGACACGCTGGGCGCGGCGGCCTCACCGGAGCGCGCCTGTCCGGGCCCTCCGCCTCGGGGCGGCCAGCGCCCCCACCCGGCGCGGCGTCCGGGGCCGCGGCCTCGCTCAGCGCCTCCATCGTCCACGCGGGACTGAAGTGCTTGGCGCCGGGCGTGAGCGCCGCGGTGGACGACCGCGACAGCGCGCCGAGCTTGGAGATGCAACTGACGCAGCGCTCGAGCGTAACTCCGCCGTCCCACGGGGTGAGCGGGGCGGCGCGCAGCGAGGCGGCGTCGCCGTCGCCGTCGCCGCTCGCCCAGCGCGTCTCGCCCAGCCGCAGCTCGGCGGGCGGCAGCGGACGCTCTGCGCTCAGCTCCGACAGCCGCGTTTCCGGTCGATACGCCTTGTGCGACTCGGGACTACCTCCTCCCGCTGAAGTCATGACCGCGCATTGCTTTACTGTTACTAATCAACAGCTAAAGCGTTTCTCACATTGTTCTCGCTTAGCAGAGCAGAATAACCATACAAATAAATGTTAAGGTAAAGTAGTGATAAGCGTCACCATGTGAGATCCGCCTGAAGTGCGTAGTTGAAATTAACATCCCCCATTACCTTCACTTTTTCGGGCTATGGAGGGCCTTCGCGCCGGCGAAAGGCACCCCCGCGCAGCCAACTCAAAATCGCGCGCGATCTCGTTTGCCTGATCGGTCACTAGCACGTGAAGCCCTTCTCCTTTTCCGCAGTGCGAGCCACCCTCAAAGCAGAATCGACCCTCCACGACACCGTAGCGCCTGCAGGATGGACGGAATGAAATTCTCCAATGATAAAGAGAAATATGACGAAACATCAAAGTCAAAGTCAAAGAATCATTTATTACATAAAATGTAAAATAAATTATTCTTAAAAACGTCATTTTTTATTGCTCGTTCACTGTGCAGACTTTTTGAGAAGAACGAGCAAGAAACTCTAGGGATTGCTCTTTTCAAATGAAATTAAATTCTGGTATATGTTATGTGTTAATCTAGATCCATGTCGTTTTTCCATACACCCTTATCTAACACGTAAATAGTGTTCTATTTTGTTATATGACTTTTCAATTAAAATACTTATATTGTAAGTTTGAAACTTAAGTACGCCAGTCTGCTCTATTTTTTGCGACATGACTCAAGCGTTTGATCATGTTGAGCACAAAAGACTTTTAGAAAAATTAGAAACCTATGGTATAAGAGGTAATATTCTTAAACTAATTTCATCGTATCTTAATAATCGAAAACAAATCACTGAAATCAGCAACATAAATATCCGTACCAAAACCGAATGTGTCCTTAGATCTTGTAGTAAAACAATTATGTACGGCGTTCCGCAAGGTAGCGCCTTGGGCCCATTGCTATTCATTTTGTACATAAATGATCTACCTAAAGTTGTACCGATTCACCACGTTTCTCTCTTTGCCGATGACAGTACAATAACAATTAAGTGTAAAAATAAAATTACTTATGAACAAGACATTAACGAAGCAGTAGAGTCCATTATAACTTGGTTAAAAGAAAATAACCTCAGTATTAATTTTGAAAAAACTAAAGTAATGCATTACAGTCAGCGACAGAATAATAATAACGTCAATGTTAGTTATGACAACATAAATATAGGCCAAGTAACCGAGACTAGATTTTTGGTTGTAATTGTAGATAATAAGTTGACATGGAAAACACATATTCAAAACCTATGTAAAAAAATTAAGCATTTCTTCCTATGCCTTATACAGATTGGCTCATATAATTGACATTAACTCATTATTGACGGCTTATTATGGTATAGTGGCTTCACATTTAAGCTATGGGATTATTTTTTGGGGTAATTGATTATTTTTTGGGATCGGGATTTAGTATTTAAAGCACAAAAGAAATGTATAAGAGCTATATTTAGCATTTCTCGCTTGGACAGCTGTTTGCCCTATTTTAAAAAGTATAATATACTAACGGTGCCATCATTGTATATTCTAGAATCAATATTATTTGTCAAAACAAACCCTAATCTGTTCAACAAACTTGTGGAAGTAAGACGTAGGAATAGAAGAGATAATGATGCAGTATCTATGATGCCACATAAAACTGCATTTATGTCAAAAAGTGTGCTCTGTATGCTGCCAAGATTATATAATAGAGTCCCAAAATCTATCCGTGAATTACATGTAAATTTGTTTAAGAAAAAATGTAAGCAGTATTTAATTGATAAATTTTTTTATAATATAAATGATTATATGAATACGAGATGGATTTAGGGCCCAATTATAATTGTTTTTATATCTGGTAAGATTACATAAGATTACAGATGTATTTGACTAATTTATGTTATTATTGACTTTCATTCATTTTTGACATGCGCATATTTTATGGAGGCTTAGAAATGTAAATTATGTAAATTTGACATTAACATGATTTTTCGCTTTATTTTTGACATTGTTAATTTTTACTAATTTTTATTATATTTTTTCTTTACATATTTACTAGTTTTTGACAGTTTTTAATTATAATATTTTATACATTATGCGACCACCACTAATTATATTTGTATGTTTCGACGAAACTGGTTGTAGTAGTACTGTTAATGTATTGAACTGATCTGATGAACTTATTGTACCTACTTCCACAAATAAATCGATCTTTATCTTTATCTTATCTTTAAGAAATGATTATTTTAATATATGCTCCGGAACCTTTTTGTAAAAACGTATACGGTTCCCTTTAAAAGAATCGTTAACCTTTATTAAACGAAATGGATATTTAAATGATAAAAAAATGAATATTTTCTTTCTTAATGAAATTATGTATAGGTAATGAAACTATTTTTCTGGATTTAAATCAATCAACCGTAACCATGAGACCTGTAAAGGGGCCGAAACGTCGGTTTGTTTGAAAAAACAAATATACGCGATTTAAATCCGGAAAAATAAGTAGTTTCATTTCGTATGTGTAACAATCACGAAAATCTAAGAACTGGAAATTATGTATGTTTTTACGGGCGTACAAAATATTCGAGTATATGTACTGTGATGCTACAATTATGATACCGTTTCGTTAAGCTTTTCTCTGAGGGAAACCCGAGAACCTAAACGGTACACACGAAACGCTCGTTTTTGCAACACAAATATGGTTTTTACGTCTGCCATCAGATCATCAGAGAAACATCAATATCTAACAATTGTGCTATTACTTGCCTCAGATGGTTTAAGTCCCATAGGCCTAGCAGCCGCGGAGGCACACCGGCCGTAAGTGCGGCTTGTCCAGCGCGCACGTGCAGCCTCGCAGGCCCCTTGCCGCCTCTTTTGGGCGCCGAGGCGACGATAACGAGGCGCTGCCGCGACTCGCCCAGCGCCGCCCGCGTCTTCACCTGCCACTGCAGAAGCCGCTCGCGCGTGTCGAAGGCCAGCAGGGCCACGAGGTCGCGACACACCAGCGCCAGGGTGTTGCTCTGTTTGTCGAGCGTAAACCCGCTTTCTGCTCCTACGAACTGCTCTAGCGACAGCGACGCCTTACTGCCGCCTGCGCCCCACCCTGCGGCGCGCCGTGGCCCGGCCTCCGCGTACACCTGCAGCTGCACGCAGTCTGCGCCCACACATAATTCATTTTACAGTCCCACGCACACCCAAGTAATAACCTACGAGAGTTACGCTCGGTCGAACATGCGCGATCGAACACCTGGACGTGCTAAAGGATCCACCACATAGCGCGGAGTGTACCATCAACATAAAACTTGACAAGTACAATACCACGAAGTAAACGACCCCAGCCGCACGGACGGACGGAAACATTTGTTTGTGGAGTAGAAGCGGCAGGCGTGTGGCGACCATGGCGACGACGGGGCACACTATAATACATATATTATTAAATTATAATAGATAAGAAATTCCTCATCATCATTTCAGCCGAAAGACGAGCACTGCTGTACGCTGGCCTCCCCAAAGATCACCACGTTCACATCTAGCGTGTTTCCGTAACCTTTACAGGTCCTCGGTCCTCCATGTGGCCGGTCAACCCACACAACGTGTCCCCCGGTACGCTCTCGCTGAGACCACTTCGGCTCCATTGGCCATCTGTTTTACGAGCGTTGAAATTGATTATTTTATTTATTTCACCAGCTCTTGGCGACAACACTGGTGATCCCAATAAAGGTTGGGTGGTACCCGTTCGTTCAATCTGTAATCCGATCCGATGCGAAAGAAATCCAATTGGACCGATTGCTCGATTCATCGATCGGACGAACGGAAAACAGCTTAGGGTGGTAGAAAATTTCCAAATTTTGTTAGCAGGTTGTATCGTGTTTAGCTCTGGAGGGTTTTTTGGCACGAGAAACTAAAATAGTTATAACTTAGGACAATAGCAAAAAGAAAATTTTGTAAGACTCGAGTATCGTTAAGTTGGATGCAAATGACAGTAAACATTAGTTTTAACACTTCGCTAGAAATCCACAACAGCCTCTATCAGTTACCACGCCTTCATGTACATTAATGGCGAATCTGAATTCTATTTACTAGGCAACCACATTTAAATTCCTCTGAATAATACAACCACGCGGATGCCGCGCGGTCGCCGCGCGGGCCGCTGCGTATACCAAATTCAAGCCAGACTCGCCCGCGTGCTCGGGACGCTCATTTAAGTTAAAACGTAAAAGCTAGATAAATAGAGTGTAGTTTGCCTTGACAGGGAGAAACCAAACGGGCGTTGCGTCATCGCAACTGCGTTATACTACATATAAATCAGAACTCGTGCGGCACTCAGTCCGTTGAAATCAACGCAGTTGCGACGACGCAACGCCCGAGTGGCATCTCCCTTAGACGCATGCGGTCGCTGCGCCGCGGCAACGCGGACTCCGCTCGAAGACCGCGCGGCGGTTGAAAGAGAGAAAGAAAGAAAAATAGTTTATTTGGTAACCATAATACACATAGAACGTGAAAACAAAAATGGTTAATGGTGTTGCGCTTGGTTAGTTTCGTCATGTCTCTCCGCCCATATCTGTCAGTTTGACAGTTGACTTACTCATCTGTCTTTTTAAATATCACAATTTTATGCATCCATTCATTGACTTATAATATCCATTTCACGAAATTTTGTGTGAAGACGTATTGAAGAAATTAAGAAATATTCCGGAATTTACTTTTGAAAATTTTCAATGATAAATACTTAGAGAATATAATTTGGAATACCATTTTTAAGATTTCACAAGAGCATAAATGCATAATTTTTATTTAAAAAGAGTAACCGACTTTAAACTTTGCTTAGAATATACAAACTGAAACTAAAAAGTCAACAATCGGTTACGGGTAACAGGGTGCGCGAAACAGGGTTCGTCGTTCCCTTAGAGGTAGAATATTTTCTTCAAATGTAAAGGCATCCAATACTGAATAACTTTTCCCAAAACAAAAGAATCATCAAAATCGATTCACAAATGCCGGAGTAATCGAGTAATATGCACACAAAAGAAATACATTCAAATCGAGAACCTCCTCCTTTTTCGAAGTCGGTTAAAAGTATATATTATTGAAACAAATTGTGTTCAAGTCGCATTACGTGACAAATTCGGAATCATATTTATAGACTTGTCTGACATGCTAAAAAACAAAATGGATACTGTCGTCTGTTCGCGACGATGACATCATAAAAAATGGCTTATGATTTCCAATAGGTGAAATACCTAGTGTCGGGTTGAAACTATTATTCAACATTTCTTTGACTTAATTCTGCAATTTTGAATCACAAACATTATCATTCAAAATGGTAATACGACCAGACAAATCACTGACACAATGCTCTCATTGTCCTAAAACATATAAATGGTACGGCGATTGAACGCCTGTTCAAATTAGGGAAATGAAACGTTTTTATTTATTTTAGCCATGGAGCCATCAGTACAGTACGTCGTTGTCCATAAACTAGACCATTCAATCGCTGGACAAATTGACGGGAGCGTTGCTTATTATTAGGGCAGAGCAAGAATGGCGCGGCGACTCACCGGCGACGGGCGACAGCCGCCGCATCACGCACCACCGCGACTTCCACTGCGGACAACACACAGCGACTCAGCACCAATCACAACTGCTAGGGCCATAAACTTATACCCTAATATAATAAGTACAGGTCGCGCGTGTAATTCAAGCAGAGCACGACTAATAAAGAGGTAGTGAGATCGTAATTCCATTTCAATATAAATACTTATGACATGCCGTACATGGATCGATTACGTACACGTTTAAAACACTGGGACACCGGTATCTAATTTCATCTTCCGTATAGTATCGACATGCAATTTCGGTCTCCAGTCAGAAACATAACTGTAGAAGTGCGTATAGTGCTGCAATTGTTTAAATAAGGTGACTTAGTGCCATCTGCTCCAATTAGCCACACTTTATAGAAGCAAAGTATTTTGAAGTTTTACTTTACTACATTTTTAAAGTATTTTATTGCAGTCAAATGTAACTTCAATACTATAGTTAGTGAGCACAAACATTTTTATCCTGGACACAAAAAAGTATATTTGTTCCATAGTTAATTGTTCGTTCATTTGTGTGCTCGTAATTATGTGCACATTTAGACTTTACTATGTGGAAGTAATACAGACAGCGAAAAGCTAGAGTCAAATAACTATTAAGTAGACTGACCTTTTTTCCCTCGCGGAACTTGACGAAGCCCTCGATGATGGTGTTGTCGTCTGCCATCCTCGCCGCCTCGCTCTCACTCCATCACTCGCACGGCACAAAGTCACTGTCACTGGCACTGTCACAAGTCACACCATCACTGTCATAACTCTTTCTAAGATCACGGTCACCGAGCAATCTGCCCCGCAAGTGTTCACCGCGTGTGCGCATGTATCCAAGCAGCCACCGAAAGCAATAACAACGGCGACGGTGCACAAGAGCCGCCCGCGGTCTTAATCATTTTCGCTGTGCTGTACGTTGTACGCTATGCATCTGAAACAAATAAACGAACCTTAAAGAGTAGTCTTCCCTCTTTAATGAAAGCAGCCGAAGACTTAATATCGAATCGACATTGCTCTAACTCCTACCACCTTGCAATATATTTTTTTATTTTCCTACATAGCTTGGTTATGTAAAACTGTTACGTAGAAATAATTGTTTACTAAGACTTCTTGGGGATTCAAGGAGTAACGATGACCGGTTCATCTGAGATCTACAATGCTCAACTTAAAAAGCCTAACACCATGTACTCGAGTACACACATAGTCTATTTATTGTCTGTGACACACTCATAGAGAAACAACTACGCGGCGTTTGCAGTTTGCAGCATGTGCCTTCGCAACGGAGCCTCTCCCAGAGGTGTAAGTGTTGCATCGATGTAGGCCGTCATACTTAAATACGTGAAGAATGTTATTACAGTTCTTCCAGCTTTTTTAATTCAACATTAGTCATTTTCAGTACATCATATTTGAAAAGTTGCTTCACCCAAACGAAAATAAATTGAACGATGTAATGTATTTTCCAATGGTGCTTCGTGTTACGAATTATGTTCCAAAACAAAAGAGGATAAGGTTCATGTTTACTTTCTATTTGCACGGTCATACTCGTACTATACGATACCATACCGTATAATACGGTTATAGTTCTGTACACACAACTATACTGAGTTTCAAAAAAAGAACGTCGTTTTTTGCTAATTGAAAGAGTTTCTATAAACGCGTCACTGTGATCCTGAACACAATATCTTCGCTACATTTATGAAATTATTAAAATTCAAATTATTTTATAAAATAATATATCAAAATGTTACATAACAGGTACAAAGGCATAATCATTTTGCAAAACAGAAATATTTAAACACAATATAAAATATCACATTATGACGCTACTCAAATGTTCTACTGCCTCCTGATTAGTTAAAATATAAGCGATATTTGGTCAATTCTGGACGTTTCTATTTTATCTCTTTATTATTGTTTTGAACCGACTTCAAAAAAAGGAGGAGGTTCTCAAGTCGTCTGTATCTTGTTGTGTTTTATGTTATGTGATAACTCCGCCATTTGTGAACCAATTTTGATGATTCTTTTTTTGTTGGAAATAAGGTACCTCAAATGTGGTCCCATTTAAGGGTGGCAAAATAGGGGATGAATGACTTTTGAGGTCGATTTTTTTTAACCGGAGGTTAGGTTATGTAGCGTTTGTTTGGCTTTCGTTTAAGTTTGTTGTTGGCGATTGGCAACAACTAAATCATTAAATATTGGTGGTGTTGCATTATTTTAATTTACTCGTAGAAAAAGTATTAGATACATGCAATTATTACATAATTGTTAGTAGTTATTACAGTGTTAAAATCTCGTGCGTATTAGTTAGTTAGGCCACTCGGCAAAGCCTCTTAAGCACGGCGCTCTCCTTTAAGAACCCTCATTGTGCAACGACTATTATGATGTGCCAATTTAAAGTTCCTCTTCTTTTCAAGGTGTGTGGTGGCAATGCTAGAAGGTCAACTTGATAACAGACGGCTTGGAATTATACTCGTGAATGTATGAATGAATTTATAATACATTTCTTTATAAATTATTGATTGTAGCGGACTTGACTTTTTTTTATAATGCCAAGTGACGAGACGGAGAAGTCGTACGCCTGATGGTAAGCGACACGCCTGTCCATAACAGTTGCAGTGCCACTAAAGAGCTTTAAATCGCAAAGATCTGAGGGACACTGCCACTGCGCCCGTTGCCCTGAGACATAAGTTGGCAAGTCCCATGTGCCTGTAATTTCACCACCACCGTTGCCCTTCAAAACCGGAGCACAGTAATGCTGATATTCTTGAAGTCGCGAGCATCTCTGGCTCTTAAATGCAGTCAATTGAGTCATTTAAATATTAATAATAATAATAATAATAACGCACACACTCAACATAGCCCCGCACTAGGGAAACCCTGTGTCGCGGGTGCCATGGACACACACATAGACAACCACAAATTACACCCAAACTCACGAGAGAAATAAATGTAGGCCATACAAATATTTCTCCCGGCCCGGGAATCGAACCTGGGACCTCTGCGTGGCAGTCCGGCATGGTAACCGTTCGGCCACGGAGGCAGTCAAATAAAACAGTCAGTAAAATATTGCTTCAATATTGTTTTCATCGCGGCGGCGCTTCCACAATGTGACAATTAATTAATAACTATAAGCAATACATTTGACGGGTATTTTTCCCTTCTTACCAAGTCTTACTTATCTTTGATCTTTATTCTTGCAGCTGCCAAACTGATAAAATTAAATCTATTCACAATATACAAGTGCGTTCGTATTAAACGTCGAACGTTAACATTCGTTGTTTCAATGATACGAGCGCTATCGCATAAGCGAGCACGACCACGACGACTGCGGTGTGCACTCGAGCCACGGCCACGGCCACGCCACGGCACACCGCTGTGTAGGTATGCGTGAGCAAATATCGTTTACGTTAATCCAATATTAAAAAATAAAACGATAACAACCCACTTCACATTTGGACTGTGACACAGCGCTAATGTTTTGGATAAGAGTTATATAGTTTAAAATAATTATACCTATTCGTAGACAAGGTTGAACAACTCAACTTCTCAAACATTTCAGCCTAAAAGCGCGTGCCATTATATAAGTGAAAGTTTTCAAAAGTGATCCCTAGAATTGATCAAGTAGGTGTTCTTTTAAAATTGTAAGGGTCGATACTTACGAGGACTTCGTCTACTTCACACGGAAACAAAAATGTAAACATGACTTTTTTCATAAGCATTGTTTTGAAAATAGTTCAAAATGAAATAGGTATTTTTATATTTATTAGAGGACAGTCCTACGAAAGCGTTCAATACGACCGAAATTGAATCTTATTAACCCATAAAACTCAATGACATTTTTGGCGCTGTCTGTAATAACTATATCAATAGAAACTAATATCAAGGGTCGTGGTTTGTCAGTTTCTCGTTAAGGGTACAGTATTAAAGTTGCACAAGCTCGAAATCACGATAATTGACATGCATAAACTTTTCATAACAACGCAAGAAAAAGGAACATTCCTAGATGTGACTCATCAGAAAATAGTTCTAGCAATTACCTGTTCCGACCACTACTACTCCTCGTAGAAATCAAATTTTCGTCAAAGTTCACTCCCGTTTCAACTTTTTGCGATTTTTTATTAGAGGTTTAGGAAAGGCAATTCGTTCGGCATCAACGCGAAGTTATTTGCAGCGCACAGTCGCCGGGAGCGCGATCGCGCGGGGAAGTTTGCACCGAACGGGGAGGGCGCGACGGGCGCGCGGCGCGCCGGGGACTCGGGCCGGGACTGCCGCGCGGCGGCGAGGCGCCCCTCGGCCGGGCCGCCCTTCGGGGCAGCTCTCGCTGCACCGCTGCGTCGGGTCGGGGGCAGTCGGCAACAAGAAGTCACACCTAGTGAACCCGACGTTCGTCTGCAACAAAAGTATCTACGCATAGTTGTTACATTGGCACTCATTTTATCGCTTTTGATGATTACACCGAAATGTAAGCTTAGGGCCGTTCTCATTAAATAGTAAGATTGTAAAGTAATAGTTATTTTTGATATAAGTGCGGCAAGTTAGTCATTATTCACGAGGCTCGAGGCTTCTTGGCCCGAGCCAGAGGCGAGGGTCAAGACGCGAGACAAGTGAAAATGACAAATCCGCACGTGTATCAAACGACGTTTTTTAATACATTTGCGAAAAAACTACATTGAAAGTAAAATAAAACAGTATTTTAAAAAAAAACTCATTTTCTGCTAGTAAATTAAAATAATGAAATACAACCACTGCAACCATTATTTAAAAGTCTATGGAAATATAGTTGTAACGTGCTGTTTTTGTTTATTTTCTGTAATATCGGTCTGTAACCACTTTTCTTATTATGAAGTCCTGGTACTTTTGTTTAAACTTCTTTAGGAACCCGTGCACGGTAGTGAGATACAATTTATCTGTAATACATAGAACAAATAAATATATACATAAAAATCTCGCCTGTCACCCTTTCAGGGGTAGGCAGAGACTGTGGACGTCCACTCGATACGTTCATTATATAGTATTTGTAAATAAATATAAGTTTTAATGACGAATGACTTACGTCACAAAGCACATAAATATTAAATAAATATACAACTTCTTTAGTTCTGTGCTTAAGATTTGAAATAACAGTAAATTAAAAAAAAATGGAAAAGTAAAAAGCACTAGTGCGAAAATTCCAACTTTCGGCACGATTTGTAGTGCGAAAAATACCACGTTTTGAGCAACTGTATTAAAAAAGCATAATCTTACTAATAGGTATTTGGACCATAAAGTTATTTAAAAAGCCTAAAATATGCCTAATAAAAAGTAAAATAATAGTGCATTGTTTTAGTATTATAATAAATATGCTATTGTTTCAAATAAGGTGATATATTTTTCAGAGTCTTCCATAAAAAGAAAACCACACAGTCATTCCACACCGTGTCATTTTCGCGTCAATATCTATATGAGACACCATCTTTTATCACTCTTCGATCAAATGTTCGAAACTCGCGCTTCACCTGCATAATATCAGTCAAATCACTTCGGCTACTTCGATGTATGTGTATTACAAAGTAACACCAATATTTATTTTTGTAGCAACTTTATGAAAATTCAGTAATTAACAGTGATTAGAATAGGTAGAGCTCTTTCAGGTCAATGATCTCAAATGTTATATTAATATTTACTTTTCTATTGTGCTTG